GGGGGGGAGGGGGAGGTGGGAGTGAGGTAACGATCAAAAGCGCGGAGAAGTCGACGTAAATCATTCAACACCTTCCAGGCAGGTGGTTGAGAAGACGAGGAACAGTAGATGACTCCAAGTGGCCTTCAATACGAGAACGGAGGACTGTGGGACCGAGAACTTGGCTAAGTGTTGCTAAGCATTCCTCTGCAGCGACAATTGGAAGAGGCTGATCAGTTGAAACAGCCCATGCCAGGACTGGTAAAAGGAAATCCAAGTTGCGCTTGAAGTCTGATTTCTGCTGACCTTCGCAGAGTGCCTTTATTGTATAGCAAGCTAAAGGAAAGGAAAATGGATTTTAGACCCCCAATTGAGGGAATTCATTCCCAACTCACAAGAACAGTCTGAAACAACTTGTGGAATTTAAAAAATAAAATAAATGATAGTGCACACAATCTACTAAATAGATCCCCAAACATTAAGTGTAATTCATTGATTTTTGAATAAAAATTGCGATTTTTAAATTCATTTAAGATTAATTTTATTATTTTTTAATTTCAACAAATGGAAAAGTCTAATTGCATAATTAACAGTCATCAAAATACAATGGTTCAAAAACGGAATATAACTTCTATTGTGTAGATCTAAAAGAACAATATATTTTCGAATAGTTGAAACTGGCGCAAGAGTGATAATATTATAACGCTTAGCCAATTTTTTAATGTAATCAGAATTTGATGTCATTACTCAAACTCCAGAGAGTTAACCAAACAAAGTCAATTTCGTAAGCACACATTTACAGATGAAGCTTATAATCTACTTATACCATTGATATATGGTTTGTCCCGATTTTACCTGGCCAGAGAAAACTGAACCAATTATTGGATCACATTAAAAGAAGTCAGAATATGATTGGTCAGACAATAGACCAATCGATAAAGACGGTTGACCATGTCATATCGTGATACAGCGATGACGAACAGTTGCACTTTACACCTTCCCATTAAAAAATGAAAAGATTAAAAATACATTTGTTCTTTCTGCTCAAAGTAAGGTGAAATAAGTTAAGCTAGCCGATGGACTCGTAGCAAAGAGATAAAATATGAATTAGTGAGTTGAACAAAACACTAAATGGAAACAAAACAACCTAGTAATTTAATTCCTAGACAATTCCCATTAAACAAATACAAGTACACATTAAATCATAACTACAGCTCTTCGACTATTAGAAGATATAGATAGCATAATAGTCGGGAAAGCTATGAAAATAGAGAAACGGAACACTCCGAGATTTCGGAATCAGGTACAATGATAGGTCCAACTATATAAAAAAAACTACTTAATAAACCCAGATTTCTGATTAAGACTTGTTTCTATTCCATACTTCTACCCTTTTATGGAGAATATTGTGGATACTGATGGTATGACTGTTATCGGTAAAAATTATAAATATAAATGCAAAGCACCGGTTTCAAGAAGATAGGGATAATGAGGATAGTGTGTTAGCGAGGCTGCAGTGACCATCTTCTCCAGGAGTTTGTCAGTGACCTTTTGGGGAGCGTGAATTCCCATCTCCCCTATTAGACGAATTGCTCCATCAGCCCTCTCCCAGGGTTGACTGGGTCGTTGGAAAGTGTCGTCCATGCAGCAACCACTGCCACCTGAAATAACAACGGAAAATGCAGAAGGTACGTAATCACACTCTTCTAAAAGGCGGCTTTTCCTATAAGGTTATTTTGATTCATGCTTTAATTGTTCAAGCCAATCAGCAAGTGGCTACTGCGGAATTGAAAGAAGGGTAAACTAGGAATATCGCCAGACTGTAGTGAGGGGACCGTTAGCTACCAACCATAAAAATATATAATTAAGAAGTTGGATTCCAAGATATCAGCAACAGCCAACTCCATTGCCAAGACAGAATAAGTCATTATGGCAGGATGGTGGTTTCCATTTTCGCCACTCAAATTCGTTCGCCCTATAATAATCGCAACTGACTGAAATAATAAAATACAATAATAATCAGCTTAGAACGGAAGAATGCGAAAAACAGGGGCGGTTGAAAAAACAAACACCCAACTCAATATACTTTAAGCGATTTGAAAAATAAGATGAATCTGAGCACAAGTCATAAGATTCATCCTTTGTACACTAGATTAGCACTGAGCAATGGATTAATTTTCATGGACCATGAAAAGTTGTAGCTTTATAAAAGAAGCCCTAACGGAATTCAATAAATGAGGAGTCGAGTGTACCTTTCTTTGCGCCGGGAGCAAGAGAACCACAAGAGTACATGACCTGATTGGTATGTTTAGGGTCGTGAGCATCAGTACTCTTTTTGACAATCACGTTGGCTCCTCCTGGACCTCGCGACATTGTGGAAGCACCTTTGGAATCCTTCGGCTGGTTCACAATATCATCCATCTGCTTTTCCGCGAACTCAAGATACATCTGTAGATGAAAAAAATACCGAAATAATTGCCTAGCAAATAAACATAGGGAGTAGTAGATTACTCAAGTAATCTAAACATACATTATTTCCACTTGAGATTTTAATACTGGATATAATATAACACAAAACTAAGTTACAACAATACTAGACCTATTGAAAAATCATCACCATTCAACGTGAACATCTCTCAAGTCACGAAGTTTACTCATTGGCATGAATGGATAATTACAGAGATAAGTGAAGAATCTTATAGAAGGGGAGCATCTTAATAGTGACCTCAAGACTCTATCTCCCTCCCTCTCTTGGGAGAATAAATTAAAACCATTATATAAAATGGAAAGATAATTAAATTTGAATAGTCAAGTACATTCAACTTCGTGAAACACCGTTTCCAATCACAGATTTAACTACCAAGGAATAGAATATCACTTAAATAAATCGTGATTAAATTACTTAAGGGGAAAACATTAGCCAAGATAACCTATTTATGTAAGCAAATGATCACAACACAGAGCAACAAGCATTTATTTGATGAAAACCGTGAACTATACCCTACTTTAACTCCACTAGTTTCAGTTACCACAGCGCACATATATCCACAGAGAATCATAAGTACCTTTTCCAGCTCCGAATCATTAGCACCCTGGAGGACTTTGGCAATCGACGCTGCAGCACCTTCACGCACTGACGGAATGCAATCAACAAGGTTGTGGAGAAAACGTTGAGACATAAGATCATTGTAGCCAGCCTCACGAGTCTCTTGAGGAAACATGGAAACCAGGTTACCAAGGCCAATGCAGGCGGCGTCACGAACTGGCCAACTATCGTCAGCGAAGCAGGTAGTCAGGGCTTCAAGGAGACGGGTCAAGTGGGGATGAAGGGCATCCCGAGGCAGCTTGATACCGACTTCGGCCATAGAGGCGCAGGCTGCTTCACGAATCTATAATTCAAAAGGGTGCAAAGAAAATTGTTGGAGAGTTGGAATAGAAATTTGAAAGAGGGAAGGGAATTTTACATGCAATCAGTGTGCACTCGTTTTATTCTATTACTGATGTCTTTACTATTCGAATCCCTAAACCCGCGAGCCCATCCTACCTATTTGTTTCTAACAACAAAGTCAAGTTAATCATAGTTGACAAACTAATAAGGAAGCCCAAGGACAATTAGATCTAGCTTCAGCTAATTCCAAATTCCCGCTAAGGATAAATTAAGGGCCGTTTTTATGTGGGATTAAAAACGCCCGAAACAAAGCAAATCGTCTTCCCCAAAAAACCCTTTCTAAAGGCCCATAGGATCAGACTACGACCCAAATTTGGAAAATACCTTAAAATTAGATTACAAGGGCACAGAAGTGCTGATCACAATTGAGATTTGCCATTTGTCAAGGACTAATTTAAATATATTCAAAGTAATGCATCTCTTGCTCTAAATGGCATTTTGAGGAAAAAATAAATAAGCCATCATTTTCTACCGATCAGATTGAATAAGTTCAATAGAAGTAGTGGCAGTATTGAGGCAAGAGCAAGGGAATTGAGCAAGACCAAAAGTACTAAGAAAGTGAAATGACTCATCTGGAAAGCAACTTTAAATAAACCGATTACCTTGAGCAAAAACAGGCCTTTATCAAGTCATTTCAATAAATCAGAAACTACATCAAGAAAATGGAAACCTACGGACGGCTTATTAATTCAAATTGGAACTAGGACTGATCTTTTGGTCAATAGGAATCAGTACATAAGCTCAGGAATCTATTAGTTTAGAGAAAAAAACCTAATGAAATGAAGCATGAACCATTATAAAACGTTACATTTTAGCGTAAAATAAATCAATTCGAAAAGATATTTAAATTAAATACATAAGTGTAAATAATAGTTTAAAATGCGAAATAACAGTAAGGTAAAAAACAACAATGATAAAGATCGGTAACCAAGAAAAAGCTAGCACAGACATGCCCAATCTCAGCAATTAATTCCAACTTATGACTAACCGAAACATACTAAAAAGATTAGCATCCAAGTTTCATCAAATTTCGGTTAATTACACCAAGATAACGATTAGTAAAAACCAATGAAATATCGAAAACAATAAACCTACAGCATGATTATCTGCTCTGCTCTGTTCCACATAGTAATCAAGAGTAGGCACGATAATGCCCGTAAGAATTTCACGACCCCGTCCACCCGTCACTTTACACCAAGTTTGTTGACTGAAAACTTTGACACCCTCTGCAACATAGTATCGATTTAGACAGAGCGGAGGCAGAAGGATTGGATAAACCCCCTCATGAGTTTGACCAGGAGGTGGAGAAACCTCAAACAAAAGACGAGTTGTTCTCAGGGCTGCCATTCTTACACGACTCCAATTATCTCCAAGACCAGTTCTCAGCTGCTGCGCCACGCGAATGTAATCGGAGACATTTTCTTGACCATCTTCACCTACACCAGAGCCACCACAACCCTGATTTTGAATGATGGTACCCATGACGTCATAGCCGGTCTCTCGAACAAATCTATTGGTGTGATTAACAGCCTTAAACACGATAGTGATGATTTCTGGGTCACAGCAAGTCTTAAAGCGCTCGGACCCAAGACCTTCAACACAGTAGTGGAGAGACTTCATCCATGTTTCAAGATTCTTCCAACCGGCTGTATCGTGGAAGAGAGTTAGAGAACTCTTGCTTAAATTAGGATTAGTATCCTGAGAACATGAGAAACCATTAGATTACTAAGAACGATGTAAAAATTGACACAATAAATCTGTTTGTTATCTTACCATAACCAAATCAAGTTCTTTCTGCGCTTCTTCCTGTTCCTTAACAGGATTAAGTGGGTCGCGGTTTAAATTATCCACAATGCCCTGTTTGATTCGGGGGAGAAATCTTTTAAAAACGTCGACACCTCCAAGTTTGCAAAGAATCCCCATTAATTCTCCAGCTGCAATACGAACTCGATATTCCCAACTGCAGTCAACTTCAGGTAACTTGATAATCATGTCTTCCCTGAAATTAAATAAATCCAGGCTGTTAGTTGGAACTTTTTCGAGTAAGATTTTAGACATCGTCAGTGCACCAAATAGCTAAAAATATAAATCATGAATATGAGCATCATACATCTTCCCACTGATGCAAATTATCAGACTTTTCCATGATCCATTCTATTATGTCCTTAAGTTCATTTGATTCAAATCCCCTTCCTAATAATAAAGTTTCGCCACGATCTCTATCTAATTTTTTTGGAGCGCAAAGGAGATCAGCAATTTCCAAAACATCACTATGTTCGCCAGCCTAATTAATAAAAAATAACAGAAATGTGAAAAGTACCATTTCCCTATTTTTTAAATGTAGCTCCTTTAAGATAAACACCAATTCGAGGTGGGTGCGTATATCTAAAAATGGAGACAAGGAAATTAAAATAAGGTTACCTGTTGACAATAAATAAATTTAAAATTTTATATATTCTTTAATATAGTTGTAATTTATTGGGGCTTAATAGTACAAAACTCATTTAATTTTCAGAAGGATACATCGCTAATCGACTACTATTATTACGAAATTATTTCCCCCTAATTGTTATTAAAATATATATTCACTATCAAATTTGCCTGATCAGAAAATAATTTTCGCTTAGTTGTTGTCATAATTTCACCCCATGGGATAAAAAATATTTTATGGGAAAAAATAATAAATAAATTTCAATTTTCATTTTGCAGAAAATTCACAATGCAGGTGAATTAGTTTGACAATCAGCTAGGTCATCGATCGCTTCTAGTTTTTGTTGCATTTATAAATCGCTTGCCCTCATTTGTCATATTTATTTATTTATATATATCAAATGGCAGGCATTTTGATAGTTATCATTAGCCCTTTAGTTGACTTCAAGCTTCACAGAGGGGAAGGAACATCAAAGTGGAAAAAAGTCTGGGGGGGGGGACAGAAGAGTGATTCAAAGATGTAAAAGGGATAGACAAAAAGGCAGAGAAAGGGTAAGATGAGTACTGTAGAAGTGGTCGTATATAACATACAGTGGGGTCATGGTAGTTTGAAGTCAGAAGTCAACAGCCGGTTAATAGACTTTTTTACCGTATGAGTATACGTTGCCTAGGGTGCACCACGTGGAGGTAAGTCTATCACACACCCCTCATTTGTCATATAAGTCTGATTAAAATTTCTCTACACTTTTGGAGCTGAAAAGTCACCCACCGAATTTTAACTGGAATCATTAATTAAACCTGCTCTGTAAATAAAACTTGGTATCAATAATTTTGCCTAATATCTACAGTAGAGGATCTTGGCTCAATCAACGATGACAGACTAATTTAACCTAATTCAAATTTGTTTAATGGTATGTGCCATGGTTAAGGTTATACCTATTTAGTATAGTTTTCTCCCTATTGTCTCTGCAACAATTTAGTATTCTTGAAAGATATACCAATCACAAATCTTGGAAAAAAAAATTATCATCTACCTTTCCCACATCGCCAAATGATAAGTTGAACTCTAATCCTTCTTAATATAAAAAAGGATTTATTCATATTGTTTTCCTTGAATAAAATGTATTAAGTAAGGCGTCATATGTCTCAGTATTTTTATAGGTGGACGTTAATTTTTAATAAGTCTATTCATTGGAAAGTTAGATCAAAAATTTAGATTACGTTAAAGTAACTTCATGAGGATATTATTGGTTCAACAACATTGAAAGCTGCCTTAGGCGAAAACAATGTTTCAGAACTCCCATCTGTAGAAATAAAATGCCGCATGCTGGAGGATGTTTGCCATTTGTTCAAAAATAATGCATTGGAAACAACTTTAAAAACACCATCTATAAACTAAACTTAGCTCTTATTCAGTTTTCCGCTTGACATTAGAAGAATCCTCGTGAGTTGCCTATTTCGTGATTTCATTTCTGAAACAATTTGTGTAAAGAGTTTCGGTGGCGGCCTCACAGAATGTAATTTATGTAAGCATTGGGCGGTATTGGGATCATTGATTTTGTGTGGACTTTGCATTGAGAGGCAGCGACAACTTTTGTTCATTTCCCTGCTTCCTGGTACGAAGCCCTATTGCATTACGGTGTTGGTTTCTCGAGCACCATCACTAATCACCCAAATGAATGCAACACTTGGTAAGGAGTTGGGAATTAAGAGCACAATTTATTTAGTGGTTCCACGTGAAGATTTGGCTTTGGGCAATGGATGTCAGGAGAAGTTGTCAACTGAATTCCTCAGTTGATGAAGACTCCTGATGGAAGAAGAGCTGAATTGCATTGATGGTGTCTTCACTTAGGCAGTTGGTCGAAAGGTGGATTGCATGGGTTACTGAATCAGAGTGTGAAGTCTGCTTTGCATGATGAAGGCTCAGTGAGAGGAGAAGTGAAGTATCTCAAACTACGAAGCACTATTCATTAATATCTACAATGGATCAATAAATCTAGGGATTTTGTTATGTCAAACACCAGATCACCAGGGTCAACAATGGGGGCCTTTCTTTAGGTAATTTCGCGTTCGAGGATGCAATTTAGAGGAAGACGAATAGGTAGGAAATAAAACTCTATTTTCGGGCGTCCTTCGGAACGAAATAAGGTTTGTTCTGAGCAGGGATCTACTAGTCTTCAGAAACTACGTGATAACAAGGGCGTAAGCAGTGGAGGTTGTGAACTGATCAGAACTTGAGGAGACGTCAAGATTGCCAAATGGCTTAAGCTCATGAACCACTTTACAGAGCATCAATAAGTTGAGTTCATAAGTGCTTTGTATATGGGGTGTGCGATAGAGTACTTCCACGTGGTGCACCCTCGGCAACGTATACTCATATGGCAAAAGTCTATCAACCGGTTGTTGACTTCTGACTTCAAACTACCATCACCCCACTGTATGCCTTGACTTCTGACTTCAAACTACCATGACCCCACTGTATGTTACAAAGTATACTCATACGGCAAAAAGTCTATAAACCGGCAGTGGACTTCTGACTTCAAACTACCCTCACCCCACTATATGTCACAACTTCTCACTTCAAACTACCATCACCCCACTGTATGTCATTGTGTATGCGCATACGGCAAAAAAGTCTATAAACCGGCAGTTGATCTAACCCTAACACGGCAAAAAGTCTATAAACCGGCAGTTGACCTCTGACTTCAAACTACCATGACCCCACTGTATGTCATATTTGGGCAACAGACCCATACGGCAAAAAATCTATTAACCGGCAGTTGACTTCAAACTACCATCACCCCACTGTATGTCATATTCGTCTACTTCCACTTCAAACTACCATCACCCCACTGTATGTCATATTCGAAACTTCAAACTACCATCACCCCACTGTATGTCATATTCGACATCCTTCAAACTACCATCACCCCACTGTATGTCATATTCGACCTCTCAAACTACCATCACCTCACTCTATGCCATATTCGAATATAATATGGCAAAAGTCTATCAACCGGTTGTTGACTTCTGACTTCAAACTACCATCACCCCACTGTATGTCATATTCCACCACTTCCACAGTCCTAACCACACCTAAACCGTTTCTCTGCCTTTGTATCTGTTTGTGTCTGTCTGCCTTTTCTATATCTGTGAATCACTCTACTGTTTCCACTCTCTGTGAAGCCCGAGGTCAGCTAAAGGGTTGATGATAACTATCAAAGCGCCTGTCATTTAAAATTAATAATAATTGATTTAATAATTGTTTTGTCTAATGTGTTCGAATCTTCTCCAATTTCCAATTATGCTTTACTAATTGATTCCATCTTCCTTCTATTTCTTCCGCTGCAACTACTTTCACGTCAACGAGTAAGAGGGATTTCAACTCATTCCGAAGTACTATCCACGCACAATATCCAGGTCATCATTTCTTTTGCAGTGCAAAATCATTAAAAGGCTCAAATATTTCCTACTGAATTATTTTAAGTAGAATAAAAACGACTTCTAACCAAGTTTCAGAGACTAATCACTCCCTTGACACTGGGACTGTAGAAAGGTATGGATTTGAAATTTAAGTACCTCTTATTCCATCTCTCGAGGCACACCAAAATAGATTGCGCCTGGGAATAGCAACCTGCTCTCCTCTTTTACATTTTATTGTGCTCCAAGTACCTGCCATTTCTAGTCTACGTCTGCTAACCAAAAGTCTGGATGAGCCAAATGTATAGAGGCACATTTTCATTTTACAAGGGGAGACGGAGTGGTGTTGTGGGTGGGGGAGATCTTTACTTCTTGACATGTAAAAAACTGGCAAACAGGTTTCTGCACCACAGCTATCGATATTGCCTCAGAAAACCACTGGATTGTCATTTACACAGACCTTCACGTCTGCTACTACCGTGACAACAGCCGCTGCTTACTAATCAATATTTAATCCCAATTTCATCGGACGCCATTCTTGGCACTAATAAGGCAAAATGCCACTCGTGCGCAATGATATTTGTCATCAAGCAACAATAGAATAGGCGTTTAGTCACTTTACAATTTATGCCGAATACTATATTACTGTCATTGCTTATTATATTGCATACGCAATTGGGAAGTAAGTAGGAAACTTTCTCATTTAATTTAAATTCCTCACTACTTTCACTGCCACCATTGATCATTTGATGAATTAATCTGGAATCGATTTCCAAGTTGACAGATTCCACCTGTGGGAAGAGTCTAACTCTACCGATCTCCTTTAAATCGATCGAAAAAATGGGATGACGTTGAGAAGGTAAAATAAGTGCCATGGAATGATTCCATGCAAGTAGTTGAAGGGAGGTGACAATACATTTGGCCACATAACTGAAACGCGCCCAATGCAATAACTCTTGTTGTAGCAATGAACAGCTTCATTAAGCGCCAATCCTGCATTCCGCATTCTTCGTTGCATATTCTGAAATGGAGCATTAGCAGAAGTGTGGCATGTTGGTTGCGAAGCTCCTTGTCCTTTCACAAGTGTTCCAATGTCAGAGTTGCACTTGAAATCGCCTTAGGTGAAAACATTCTCCAATTCAACAGAGTTGAGTGTGAAGAGTTGGAGCACTTGGATAAATATTTTCAGGTTGACATAAACAAGAGCAAGCGAGTTAGGTAGGACTACGATAGTGGGAAGGTGTTATAGAGTAACATTCCACAGTCTACTGAGCTACAGTTACCACTATACCCAAAATTACCCACTAGGCCACATTTAACTGCAAACATCTTGTGATGGCTCCATCGGGATTGTAAGGAAGAAGAAGTGAGGCACCTTCTCGAGATCTCACATTGGAAACACGTGAAACTAAGCAACTGGCCAAAACTGAACTCAAAATTGGAGGCAGAAGTGAAGTGAACTGAAGTGGGGGC